TTAGAATTCAACAATGACACAAATCAAAGAAACCCTACAAACTCACGGAAATTGAACAATGCACAAATGCACCATCTCTGGGTAAAGGAAGAAATAAAAAAAAGAAATTAAAGACTTCCTGGAATTCAATGAGAATAAAGACAAAACATACCCAAACTATGGGACACTCTGAAAGCAGTGCTGAGAGGAATGTTCATAGCGCTAAGTACGCAAATGAAGAAACTGGAGAACAGTCACATTAGAGAATTATTAGCCTAGGTCCTGATGGCCTCAGTGCCAAATTCTACCAGAAATTCAGAGATTAGCTTATGCCAATTCTCCTCAAATTATTCCAATCAACAGAATCTGAACGGTCTTTGCCAAACTCATTTTACCAGACTTTAATAATCTTGATGACTAAGTCACACAAAGACACAACTAAGAAAGAGAACTTCATATCAATATCACTAATGAACATTGATGAAACATACTCAATAAAATACTGGCTAATCGGATCCAAGAACACACCAGAAAACTCATTCAACCTGATCAAGTAGGCTTTATTCCAGGGAGGCAGGGATGGTTCAACATATGAAAATGCATCAATGTAACCCACCATATAAACAGGCTGAGAAACAAAAATCACGTGATCATCTCACTAGATGCTGAAAAAGCCTTTGATATAATTCAACTCCCCTTCATGATAAAGGTCTTAGAGATATGTGGGATAACAGGAACATACCTAAACATAATAAAAGCAAACCAAATGCCAACATCAAAACAAATGGAGAGAAACTGAAAGAAATTCCTCTAAAATCAGGAACAAGATAAGGCTATCCACTCTCTCCATACCTCTTCAATATTGTATTTGAATTTCTAGCCATACAAACATGATAACAAAAGGAGATCAAATGGATACAAATTGAGAACGAAGAGGACAGGCTATTTGCAGAAGACATGAAAGTTTACATAAGTGACCCAAAAAACTCTACCAAGAACACCACAGCTGATAAGTACCTTCAGTAAAATAGCTGGATACAACATCAACTCAAGAAAATAAGTAGCCCTGAGAGGACCCACCCACAAAGGAAAGACTTCAGCACTTCCAGGCCCCAAACAACAGTTATCTCAGCTAGAGGTGAACATGGGTCTCTCCAGGGCCACTCCCCATCCCCGTCATTGCCCATCCCCTTAATCGTCTTGGGGCACTCTCCTGGCATCCAGAAAACCCGCCCACACAGAAATACATCAGTCCTTCCAGACCTCAACCTCCTGCGAAACCAACTCCACCTTCAGCATCCCCAGCTTCAGTTTCAGGAATGAAGGAGACCAGTGGAGAGAGAAAGACCCCATCTGCACCCACGGGAAGAGGAGCTGGGAGGAAGACAGAATAAGAGCTAACTCAACAATAGAAAGACCAACATGATTCCAGCAGAATCTAGAGACCCAACACCATCAAGGCTGGAAAAGCACTACATAGACTAAGCAGAAGAGACAGAACTTAAAATTTATTTTATGAAGATGATAGAGACCATCAAAGAGGAAACAAGGAATTCCCTTAAAGAAACAGAAGAAAAACCAAACAAAAAAAACATGAAATGGGGGAACAGGCCAACCAAAAAATTCACGAAATAAAAAAAAAACTCTTAAAGAATCTAAAGAGTACCAAGAAGAAACAAATAAACGAATGAAGGAAACAACTCAAACAGTTGAAGAATTGAAAGATGAATCAGAAACAATTAAAAAAACACAGAAAGAGGGGATGCTGGAAATAGAAAAGCTGGGTAAATGATCAGGAACCGCAAATGCAAGTATCACCAATAGACTACAAGAGATAGAAGAGAGAATCTCAGGGGTTGAAGACTCATTAGAAGATATATAGTCAATAACCAAAGAAAATCTCAAAAACAACAAATCCCTAACACAAAATATCCAGGAAATATGGGACACCGTGAAGAAGCCAAACAAGGGAATAACAGGTATAAAAGAAGGTGAGGAAATACAGCTCAAAGGTACAGAAAACATATTCAACAAAATCATAGAAGAAAACTTCCCTAACCTAAAGAAGGTTATGCCTATGAAAATACAAGAATCTTACAGAACACCAAATAGGCTGGAACAGAAAAAGAAGTCACCTCACCATATACTAATCAAAACATCAAATCTACAGAATAAAGAGAAAATATTAAGAGCAGCTAAAGAAAAAGCCCAAGTAACAAACAAAGGCAGACCTATCCAAATTACATCTGACTTCTCAATGGAAACTATGAAAACGAGAAGATCCTGGACAGATGTCCAACAAACGCTAAGGGAACAAAGATTCCAGCCCAGACTACTATATCCAGGAAAGCTTTCAATTACCATAGATGGAGAAAACAAAATATTCCACGACAAGCCAGATATAAACAATAAGTATGCAGGAATCCAGCACTACAGAAAGTACTAGAAGGAAAACGTAGACACAATGAATTAACTACACTCACAAACACACATGCAATAGATAATCCCACTTTACCAAACATCAAAAGAAAAAGGGAGGAGAACATACACATAATAACTCAACTACCAATAAATCAAGCACAAACCAGAATCATCAATCAATGGTCATTAATATCCCTCGATGTCAACAGTCTCAACTTGCCTATAAAAAGACACAGACTAACAGAATGGATACGAAGACAGAACCCATCCTTCTGCTGCATATAAGAAACACATCTCAACATCAAAGACACATGTTACCTCAGAGTAAAGGGTTAGGAAAAGATTTTCCAATAAAACGGACCCAAGAAACAAGTGGGTGTAACGATATTAATACCTAACAAACTAGACTTCAAATTAAAATCAATCAAATGAGAAGAAGAAGGACATTTCATATTCATCAAAGGAAAAGTCCATCAAGATAAAGTCTCAATTTTGAACATCTATGCCCCAAATACAATGGCACCTACATTTGTGAAAGAAACATTACTAAAGCTCAAATCACACATAAAATCTCACACACTAGTAGTAGGAGACTTCAACACTCCACTCTCACTGCTAGATGGGACCTCCACACAGAAATTTAACAAAGAAACAAAGAATTAATAGAAGTTATGACCCAACTGGGTTTAACAGACATCTATAGAACATTCCACCAAAACACAAAGGGATATACCTTCTTCTTGGTACCACATGGAACCTTCTATAAAATTGACCACAAAATAGGAAACATAGCAAATCTCCACACATACAAAAATAACCCCTTGTATATTATCAGACCACCATGCATTAAAATTAGAATTCAACAATGACACAAATCTCAGAAACCCTACAAACTCATGGAAATTGAACGATGCATAAATGCACCATCCCTGGGTAAAGGAAGAAATAAAAAAAGAAATTAAAGACTTCCTGTATTTCAATGTGAATAAAGAAAAAACATAACCAAACTCATGGAACACTCTGAAAGCAGTGCTGAGAGGAATGTTCATAGCGCTAAGTACGCAAATGAAGAAACTGGAGAACAGTCACATTAGAGAATTAATAGCACACCTGAATGTTCTAGGACAAAAATAACCAAACTCACCCAGGAGGAGCAGACGCCAGGAAATTACCAACTTGAGGGCTGAAATGAATCAAGTGAAGCCAGGACAGCATTGAGAAGAATCAATGAAACAAAGAGTTGGTTCTTTGAGAAACAACATAATAGACAAACCTCTGTCCAAACTAGCCAAAGACAGAGAGAGTGCATGCTAATTAACAAAATAAGAAATGAAAAGGGGGATCATAACAACAGACAATGAGGAAATCCAGAGAATCATCAGGGCATACTTTGAAAATCTGTACTGCACAAAATTCAAAAACTTAAAGGAAATGGACTATTTCCTGGATATATATGACTTGCCAAAACTAAATCAAGGAGAGATAAACAATGTAAACAGACTTAGAACCCTTAATGAAATAGAAGCAGTCATCAAAAGTCTCCCAACCAAAAAATGCCCAGGCTCAGATGGCTCCAGTGCAGAATTCTACCAGAAATTCGAAGAGTGAATTCCAATACTCCTCAAAGTATTCCACACAGTTTGGCAGGAGGCTCACTGCCAAACTCTTTTTATGAGGCTACAATTACCTTGATACACAAGTCACACAAAGACACAACTTAAAAAAAGAACTATAGACCAATTTATCTCATGAAAATAGATGCAAACATACTCTATAAAATACTAGCAAACCGGATTCAGGAACACAATAAAAAATCATCCACCATGATCAAGTAGGCTTCATCCCAGGAATGCAGGGATGGTTCAACATTAGAAAATCTATCAATGTAATCCACCATATAAACAAACTGTGAAAGAAAAACCATATGATCATCTCGCTAGATGTTGAAAAAGTCTTTGACAATCTCCAGCTCCCATTCATGATAAAGGTCCTAGAGAGATCAGTGATAACAGGAATATAATTGAACATAATAAAAGCAATATACAGTAAACCAACAGCTAACATCAAACTAAATGGAGAGAAACTCAATGCAATACTGTACTTGAAGTTCTAGCTACAGCAATAAGACAACAAAAGGAACTCAAGGAGATACAAATAGGAAAAGAAGAAGTCAAGCATTCGCTATTTGCAGATGATATGATAGCTTATAAAAGTGTCCCGAAAAACTCCACAAGGGAACTCCTAGATTGATAAACACCTTCAGCAAAATGGCAGTATACAAGGTTAACTAAAAAAATCATTGGCCCTATTATATACAGATGATGAAGTGGTTGAGAAAGAAATCAGAGAAACATCAACTTTTACAATAGCCATAAACCGCATCAATATCTGGGAATAATGTTAACCAAGGAAGTGAAAGACCTGTGTGTCAAGAACAGTGAACCTTTAGAGAAAGAAATCAAAGATCTCCCATGCTCTCTGATTGGTAGGACATTCAGAATGAATATTTCTGAGTAAACACCCAGGATTATCTTCTCTGTCATCTCAGTCACAGGGCAGCTTCCTGCTCCTCCACAGTTTCTGTCACACTCAGGATGTGGTTACAACACTGTGTGCCTTGCACAGTAATAGATGGCAGAATCCTCAGATGTCAGGCTGCTGAGCTCCATGTAGGCTGTGCTGGAGGATTTATCTGCAGTCAGTGTGGCCTTGCCCTGGAATTTCTGATTGTAGCTAGTACCACCACTTCCACCATAAACCCATCCAATCCACTCCAGGCCTTCAACAGGCTTCTGCTTCACCCAGAAAATATTGTAATTTGTGAAAGTGTAGCCTGAAGTCTTGCAGGACAGCTTCACTGAGGCCCCAGGTTTCCCCAGTTCAGGACCGGACTGCTGCAGCTGGACCTGGGAATGGACACCTGTGGAGAGAAATGCAGAGTGGACATCATTGTCGCCTTAGTCCATGCCTCATCCTCATGTATGGAATTGGAAATAACTTACCTGTAATTACTGATACCAAGAAGAAAATAATGCAGCTCCATCCCATGCTGAGGACCTGTGCACTAAGTGACTGTAGAAGGACACTGAACATATGCTGTTGGTGATGTGGACATCCCTGTATTTACAACCATAGTCTAGTGTGGTTTGCATATTAATGAGCAGAGAATTTCTTTAAATAAAGACCTAGTACAGCTGAGGAAAAAGGTGGCTGAGGACACATGAGTCAGGCAAAGTATGCTGAGATCCAAATCTTACTCCTGTCTGAGGAATGGCATCCTTACCCTTCCCTCAGGTCTGTGTAGTTCCTGGGGGTGTAACATCAGGTCTTGTATGGCATCTTTCTGTGATCTCTCTCTGCCTAAATTTCCCAGAATTCTCCTAGATTTCTAGTCCCATCTATCTTCCTTCGTCTATTGGTCAGTGTCTTATTCATCAACAAATAAGAAAAGCATATATCCAGAGTATCATCCTCCCCTGGATATCAATTTTTGTGACAGATACAAAGGGTCAGAGATGCAAGGTTCACTGATGCCTGAAAGAAGGGAAGGCAGGCAACAGACTCTTCTGAAGAAAGAACTTCAATCCTAATCAGGAACACTGATGTTGGGTTTCAGACTCCTTGGTCATGGAGAACATAACACTGTGGTATTCTTTCTTAATTCTGTGGTATGAGCTGTAGTGAATATAATCATTTTTCTTATATATTTCAGAGGTAGTTAAATTATTTCTGGTTCCAAGGGGAAAATGAAGACAAGTGAGGAGGATGTAGTGTAAAAATTAAAATTCAGCAATTTAATCCAACAACTTTATATAAATGCAGATTAACTCTCCCGCTCCAATAATGACTTAAAAATTAGAAAATATTATTGTGAAGCTGTATTAAAGTACATCAATGCCCTTGTACCATTTCTCTGAACTACTTCCTTACATTCAAAATTCAAGAGTTCAGATATAGTCAAATTGAGAGTCTATTTAATGTTTCCAATCAGTACTGTAGGCATGTCTTGGTCTTCCTGTTCATCACTGTGACATGCTAGGTAAAAGCACTTTAGAGAGAACAGGTGTTAGATAAACTGTAACTACAAACTCATAATTCAAAATTCTGAACCACTTGGATAGAAAATTATGGTACTGTTAGGTGATTCCTGTGAGGAGAGCATGGTATATGTTGATAACTTGAGTAACTGGATTCAATATATGCATGTAGTAGAGCAGCAACCAAACATGCATTTAGTTTATGTGTAAAGTCTGATACCAGAAGTTCACCTCTTCTCCTTATAGAAAAAGACTCATCCCTACAATTCAGAGTATTGGATGGTATTATCTGGACATTTCACAATCTCTTACTATAAACCTGCATTTCATACTCCAGTCCATGGGATTCTGATGATTATCATAGGCTGAAATGGACAAGAGTTCTTACCTACTTAAATACAATGGAGATATTCTCCTCTTAAAATTCACAAAATACTCAGACCTTGGAGAATATAAACAGATACTATTAGCTTAATTCCTTAATTAAGGCAGTATTACAGTTACGGTATGTGCACATCTAGTGCAATGGATATCAAAGTATCAAGAGGTTTTTTTTATTAAATTACACATGGATTTCTAGTTTTTGCCCTTTCTCCCTCTTTCACACGAGAACCTGTGTGGACAGAACCCTTCCATCCCAGTGAGAATCCAGTCACCACATCCATGTTCATTAAAGTGAACTATACTTCAAGGGTTCAGAGGTCATCTGAACCTCCTTATGGTTAAACATATTTGTGATGCAGAGGACTATTTTGACCATACTGGGACAGAGCTTTGGATGCTGCTGTCCATTCCACAGCAGTGATCAGCAGAAATGTGCACACCTCTTGCATTAATTGGGACACTTTTCCCAAAATGTTGTTCAGGGTCCAGATCTCAAATACCCTTAAGGTTTCCTGATAATTCTTTCAAGAATTATTGTCTTATCCAGCAACTGTGTGAATCCATTCTAAATTTTGTGGACCTCATTATGGATTTTATTTAACGAATAATATCTCCCATGTTCTAGCATGGAGATCTCTGATGGCAACTAACCTTGGGCTCTGAATATATTGACACTGGCAATGAAATGAACAGAGTTTGTTTAAATCTCCTGATTGCACAGCATTATTATCTGCTTCTGCGGTTCTTTACTTCTTAGAGATTGATGGATCCACAGTGCCCCCTGCTGATTCTGAGAACAGGCTTGTGTAAGTTCTAATACACAGACCCTCACTATGATTCTTACTCATGTTCTTGGTAATGGACCTGGTGATGCTGAACAGAGATTTCAAGTATGGATGAAGAGCTGTACCTCAAAGTCTTTCTCCATGAACTTAGTCCTTTCTCTAGGGTCTGTTAGATGTAGCTTTTGCCGTGACAACTTGTGATTAAGGGAGTAACCAGAGAAGCACACATGATGGACAGAAATCACAACTGCTTTATAAAGCAATATCCTAACCTCCACCTGCACTTGGAACAGAAAACTAACAACACCTGGGATATGAATAAATTTGGTACATGCAGATCTGTTCCCAACTCTAGAAAGTATTTTCAAATTTGAGAAGTGACAAAAATTTAGACAAGTTTGGATGGGGGTTCATTCTGTGTGCTAACTGAGCATCATTATCATGGGTTGGCTGTACATTTCTATGGAAATACTTAGAAGGGATAGTTCTTTTTTTTCTTCAAACTTTCTGGGGGAAAATGATTAATGTGTTCTCTCTGGATCTAATTTCCCAAAGCTCAGCATCCTCCTAGTCATGTAAACTCATGGCAACTGATTTTCAGACTTGAGTGCCCTTGCTGTAACCTTAGAGAATGACAGCAGGAAGTTGAATAATTCACTACCAGCTCCAAAGAATTAGTGGATCCAGTGCCACAATATGTATAACTCATATGTTTGTCCATATGCATGCACATGTGTCACTTGTCAGCACACTTATTAACCCCTGAAATATGCTGTATATTGAAGTGTAGATGGATGTGTCTGGATATAAGCAGTGTGACCATGAGTCAAATGCATTTCAATCATATACAAATTCTCCTGAAATGAAAATTTTCAAGTGTCACATGGTACTTAATATTCCATTTCTATATGTGGGTGCTTTGACTACCTCATGTACTCAGAGCTTGTTCCATGGAAGGGTTGTTAAAGTCAAGCTCACGTCTAAAATATATGTTGCATATTGTACATGCTTTTGTGAGCATGATGTTTCTTCCCATCATGCTGAAGGGGCTTCTGTTCTTGATTCTAACTAAAGAGAGCTGAGCATTCACAATACAGCCTCTATAGGAATAGGATTCACAGGTATAAATGAGTAACTATTGATGCATCTGAGGACCTGGGTGACTCTAAGAAGCTAAAATATTTTTGAACTTAGTATTGAAGCAGGCCTGTGTTTCCAAGAATGGATAATGAGACAAAGCTCTACTTAGAGAAAGTGAAACTTGAACATCTTTAGGAAGAACCCAAATCTTAGAGACCTGCCTTGGAAATTACATCAGATTTACAGCAGATACATGGGCCATGAGGACAGTCTTGATGATGTCATGTAGGATAACTGGAAATGACACCAGAATTACATGAGAGATATGGCCAATAAATCATTTCTTGATGATGCAATATAGGATAACAATGAATAAGCTGATGTTAACTGAAATGCCAGCTTTGCTATAAGTAAGAGAGACCTGTCTGACTGTGTCCATGTTTCTGTAAGTGTGAAAATAAGCACATATCTCTGATGATTCTGCACATGTTCTGAGAAAACAATTGAGCAGTATAGACAGAAATTATCAATACTGCAGTTGGCAACTGACCAGAAATTGTTGGTAACACTCGAAACAAGTTGTTTAGAGTGCACATGACAGATACATAAATTAACATATTATGTCTAACCTCTCTGTCATAATTTATCAAATAACAATCAATGAGTGATTTTGGACGGGGGATTCTAAAGTTTCTTAGTGAAAAATTGGTTTTTAAGCAATATATTGTATCATAAATTACCTTTCCCCAGCAATTCTTGATCCTCTCACAAGAAAAAAACACAAGAAAGATTCTCTCTCTCTCTCTCTCTCTCTCTCTCTCTCTACCTCCCTGATATGACACTTCACATTCCATCAAACACTTGAGACTACTAAATGCCATTTGTCGACATGTTGGTTGTAACTCACCAATTTGTTGAAAACCAGATACTCTATATCATGAGGATGACCAGCAGGTTACCAAAGACTTGATGCTGTATCATGTAGGTCCATGTTATCTAATGACTTGATACTGTAGAGTTGGGTACATGGACAGGGAAGGCAATAAATATGGCACTAGAACAACAGAGACTACAGTGTATTTCAGAATATACCTCAATTTCCATATGTATATATATCATAATGTGTTGATAAATTTGATCTTGAAAGTAATGTAATAACTGTTAATAATGTATTTGTTCAATTTATGAAAATCATACTAAAAGGCAGTGCATTCTGATATAAATATGTCTTTCATTTTATGATATGGGAACTTATGCTGGAACACATGGACAAAAATCCACATTGAGGTCACTTAAGACTTAACACTGTGAAAGGAGCTTTTATTTGTCAGATGTTGGTGATTTGGAGTGCACAGGTCAAACGTGCATTTTTACTTCATCCTCAGTTCTTTTTTTTTAGGTTAATAGGTTAATATAATTTTATTTTAGAAGGCTCTTATACAAGAAACAGATGACTACTCCAAGTTCCAGCTCCAAGTATCTACCCAGGCTGCTCTCTGTGACCTGACTGAAAGAGAGCAAGCTGGGGTCAGTACCACAGACCTGGTTCCACTCTCCATCACATCCATACCTGTGACCACACCCAAATGTAGGGGGGGCTAGATATCTCATTACAATTCCCCTTTTAGTATAAAAGGAAAGGATTTAGGCTTGATACAAAACTACCATATACAAAGACAGTAAATATAAAGTATGCCTAGGAAAAGTAAAAGTAAAAAGGAACACACTTAAGACCTATTGTCAGTGAGGCAACAAGAGCAAATGGCAAGAAATACATATCCAGTCCTAGAGTAAAGGCATT